CCCATACACCCACCCCCCCCACCCCTCTCACCTTTTAGTAAAGTGACTGCTATTGCACATTCATACATTTTTGGCAGAAAAAAAACTGTCAAAGTTCATACTAATATCTTGTGAAATAATTGACTCGAAGTAATGTCTGTCAAGTGGGCTAGTAAGTAATAGTTTGGTATAAAATAAGAATAGAATAATTTTAGTGAAAACATTGACATCGATTCATAGCAAATTTGGCAGTTGGATCACGTCCTCATGGACTCACTATTCGTGTATGAGGTCAGAGTAGCTTAACAATCATAAGTTACACTGATTCCCATCACTTAATAGGCATACAGACCGCTGTGAACTTTTGATGAGAGAAGGATTGAGAGTGAAATATTGATGACTCCTTCGACTCACCTGACCGAGGTAGGCCTCATCATTGAGAATATGGAAGATGCCGTCGGGTTTTCCAGTCAGCAGTTGGATAATCACTCTGTTATCGGGGAAGGTAATATAACTCCAGCTCACTCCTTCACTGGAGTATTCCGACTGCTCCAACTCGAAGACGTATCGATTGAAGAAGAGTTGGAGGTTCTCGTTGGCATAATTAATGCATAGTTGCTCTAGTGAATTACATGGCAAATTCTAATAAAAGAAGGAAAAATATATGCACATATATTCAGTTTTAATCGAATACATCCCCCTTGAAGAAGGGAGGGTGGGAAGAAAATTTACTTACTTCGAAACCGTAGATATCAAGAAGAGAAATACAGGGAGCGGAACCTGAACCATCAGTCACGGGAGGAGCAAGTCGTCGATTTAATTCCTCGACTAGAAGTTCAAAGTACTTTGAGTAAAGATACTTCGCTATGGAATCACGATTCACTTTGGCTTGCATCTCATTCACTGGACTTCGAACGGCTTCATTTCGAGTTTCCTAGTTAATCAATAATAGAATCTGAAATATTGAAATTACTCAAATATCTTCAAAAAAATTTAAATTAATACTCACCATAACTTTCGTCGTGAGAACATTAGCAAGAATTTGTTTGTTAATTCCCAATTCATTGGCAATTATGTTCAGTATTTCGGGATTCTTGATGTAACTAACTTCCTAAATTGAAAGGTTTATGTGCATTTAAAATACTGCTTTAAAATTTGATCATGCTTTTCTTTAAAAAATATAAAAATGATTAAACTTAAAACAAAGATTTCTATTTGATAAAATATATATGGCAAATCGTTATGATAATATAATTGTTAATAACCTTCCAAATGGATTGAACTTTTGTATAATAAAGAGAAATTTACGTAAAAGTACTTTCATATAAAATGACTCACATCTCGTTCTCCAAACTCGACGTTACCCAAGTGTAGAATACCAGACATTATACGCAGACACAGATCCATGTCATCTCCAGTAAAACGTAAATTCGACCAGCAGTTCAACAGAACTTGCAGAGCTTCTGGATCGGATCTGGAAGCCACTTTACTGGCTTTGCCCTTTGAAATAACGTAAAAAATTATTATTTACTTAATAACCATCAAAGATTTTAGAGTAAAGGATAGTTTTTTTGGGGGTGGGGGGTAACTCACATATTGAAGATAAGCGTAATCATTAACAGAAGTAAGGTGATGCGCGTCTTTAGTTTCTTTATCCAGACCAGATAAAAGCTGGTAGAAAATATGATAGTTCCTTTCACCGGATGCTTGTTGAACAACCCGAGATTTCTCGAGGAGGTAATTTGTCACCCGAGCCCCTGTTATCGACGGACTGTATCAAGAAAATCGCATTCGTATTTCAATTTTGCGGGCAACAAAATACAAGTAAATTATGAACGTACCCGGCAAAATAGACTTCAACAAACTTTCCAAATCGAGATGAGTTGTCATTTCTTAAAGTGGTGGCGTTACCGAAGCTCTCAAGAAGTGGTGTGCTTTCAAGGACTCCTTGAGCGGCAGAGCCCCATGTAATTTGCTCACCTTCGCTAGATGCTGCTAAATGACGCAGAATTCTTTTGAATGCCTCAGTCTTTCCAGCACCTGATTCACCACTATAAAGGAGAGTTGATACTTTATAAATCTTCTAACCTTATAATCACAACTTGATCGACTCCATCGTGTAATAAGTTTTGATACATGCCTTCTGCTATGCCATAAACATGAGGGGGCATTGAAGCCATGGGCTGGTTTCTGTAAGTTGACATAACATCCAACCCATCAATAAGAAGATCAACGTAGGGATTCACAGTAACAAGAATGTTTCCAATATATGTCTAAGAAAATTAATTAAACTAGTTACTTACATATATGTTTTTATTGTTGTAGCGGATTTTTAAATTGTCCAAAATGGTCATTTGAGATAGATTTCTCAGATTGACCATATTATCAACTCCATCAACTTCAATTGGACCAACAACACGAACACGTCTCAAGTTCTTTAAATTCAGCAGCTGAACCTCACCATCAATGGTACTTCGGACAAATGTACCTTCTCGTCTGACAGCAGAAATTTCACCCATTAGATCTTTCATATAGCCAAGATCAAAGAGAATGCGAACACCCTAAAAGTAACGCATAAAATGTTGTATTACCTCTCGTATTCCTGCCGCATTCAGCGTCATTTTCTGTGGATGAGTGAACGAATTCAAGAATTTACTTGTAAATACACGACTCAGAGCAAAACTGCAATCAACGAAATCAAACAAATTTAAGGTCGAAAAAATGCATTTCAAGTCTATAAAATTTTTATCGTTTAATAAGTCTAAATAATCAAGTTTTTACATTTAAAGAGCTTTTAAATTACTTAACGTCTTAATTTACTGCATTTGTTAATTTTAAAATTTGAATTTGTTGTTGATTGGAAATAAATTTTATCAATAATAATTTTTTAGGATCTGAAAATAAAGCTTTTCTATAATGTATGCTGTGACTTTTGATACACTCCGACTAAAAACCATCTGCAGCTCTCTGAATTTTATTGATTTTATGCATAATTCTATTTGAATTTTCCTAATTCTTTAATTTTATATCAACGTCCATAAACGCTATTTGAATTAGCAATAGTGTTTTAGCTTTATTGGAATATTTGATTGTAAGAACTCCTCATGTGAAATTCTTTCCATTAACAATCATATCAATCATTATTAGGTCTGGTTATATGGAATTAGTTCTCTTACTTTGTTTACTTTTGTATAATTATCAAAATTTCTCCAAATCCTCATTCTTTTACATAACTCTGCTTTTTGAATAAAGTTAATAAGAGTTTCATCTTAGCGAATTGAAAATATACGAAACAAATAACGCTATCTAACTTTCCACTTTGTAATAACGTTAGGTAGACCTTGAACAACTGAATTGAGCCAAATTAGTTATGTCGATAGACCAATACGGATATAGCCAGTAAACTTGTGTACGAAAATTTTCCTCGTAAGACGTGAGTTGTGTTTTGTCATTTATGTCTCGGATTGATAATCGGCGTCTATTGAGGTATCTATTTACAACGACACACACACATACTTGCGCCCTCTGTGAATAATGCAGTCGTAATCTCATAACCGATTGATCGCTTCTAATCGTCGGGTCTTAATTGTCACCTGTTTTCTTTAGGACAGCCGAAGACTTTTTATGAAATATCAAATCGTACGTTTAAATCAATGTTCTAACGTGCTTATTACATGCATAATTTCGCGCTATTTCAGTTAGAGCAAAATTTGATATAGTATTTCATACACAACAAAATACTTATTGTTTATTTACTCTCTTATGAATCGATTTTTGACAAATCGCACTCGCGATTGAATTTAAGTTCAAAATCATGTGGAGCTTTCTATTAAACCCAAATTTCACTCATTGAATTTTAATTAAAGGATTAAAAATAAATATTAAATGCTTTGATGCAAAGTGAATGAAGGATTTAAAATGTTTCAAGATTCGTCAGTAACACCCACTAAATTATAACAAGCATTATACCTTGCTATTAAAATATGTCAATCACTTTGTCCCTTCGAGAACCAAAAAATTGTCTCATTGATTTTTTCTTTCCATAAAATCACCAGAAAAAGAAGTTTTCAATGGTCATAATTAGATAAGTTCCATTGACGAATTCCTTCATTTATTATTTTCCGCTCACACGAGGAAGAATAAAAATCTTTAACACTATTCTGCATTACGGCGTGCGATGTTCCAAGGGGAGCACACTCTCCACTGAACATTCTGGAAAGTGAGGCATACTTTCTGAAGCCTCTCAGCCAATTAACAACTGTGTTCATGCAACGTAGGATGATGTTAAATCTATCTAATGAGTAGGCGTGTATGGTAGCTTACTCAGCTATTGTAATAAATGCTTTCCACTCCTTGCGCTTTGTTCAATGAATAGTATTAAGGTCGGTTAGTTGACTTTGGGTGAGATTTTATTCAAAGTATCCATTTGTAATGTAATTTTGCAGTTACCGGTCTGAGGAAAATGTTGAATTACTAAGGCAGGTAGATTAATGACTTTGATCACTGCCGATAATTTACTTAAAAAATAAAACAAGGTGTTGAATGACTTTATTTAAGCTAAGTTGAGGTAGCTTTGGGAATTGAAGAAAACATGGGTTTCGGCGGAAAAAAGATGTTTATCAGTAGAAGACCTTCGAACCGCAATTGGTATCATTAAGCCCTCTACTAAAACCACTGCGTCCACTTTTGCCAACTCGATTTTTTATGAAAACAAGCAATCGGAAATACTTTTCTATTGAACACGCCGATTCAACTATCTTTCGCACCCCCCATCAAATTAAATTAAATGCGATTCTAAGTGTGCCATGACTCATTAATATTGAGACTTTTGGGGAGTGATGTCATTTCGCGAGATTGAATTCTTCCTTAATTGAATGATGAAATGCTCCCAAAATGAAGTAAAATCTAATTGTCGACACACTCTACTATTTATGAAAATCGAAACACATGCTCAAATGTGAGGCGTAAAACAATGTCTCTCTCCCTCTCCCTCTCTCTGTGTGTAAAAAATCTGATCTGATCGCTTTTCAATATACTCCTCGTTTCAATATACTCGTTTTGGAGAAACTTTTGTCAGTTGTGTGGCATCTGGTTTCGTTCATATAGTTTGGCATTAACTCTAATCTAGTAGTAAATTCGAAAGCACTTTTTATATTCTTAGATTGATGTCAATTGGATTATATTAGTTTCCCTTCCTTTTTATACTTTTAATCTTAATTTTTTAACCTTTAATTGAATTATTTCTGTTATTATGCCCCTCTATTCACACTTAATATTAGTACTATACCACTGTTTCCTTCATCAATTCATCTTATGAAGGTAAAGCTTTGAAAAAATTTTTATTGTTTTTTATTGATTATTTCTAAACTGTGTCTCTGCCCTTTAACATTTGTATACTACTTAACTATCTACTTGCTCTATGCGTTGACTTGAGTAACAAGCCATTACAATTTCTTCGTTGGTGTATAGTTTCTTTTAGGTCCTGGTAGAAGAATAATATTGATTGGTGTGTATTGAAAATCACGAAGCTTCTACCTCATTTCTTAATCTTTTATAGCCAAAAGTCTGGGTAGGTGATAGAGGACACTTAAATGACTTTAAAGGTACCACACATTCTAGGCCCGAACAATGGATAAATGCTTAGCTATACGTCAGACTTGCGTTTGCACATGGATACTCACATGTTTCATCAGTTCGGCCGGTTAAAAAATTAAACGATGCAATTTTCGGAGATTAGAACCAACTAGTAGAAGAAAGTAGCACGAACCTCAATAAGATAATCTTATTTTTAACATATTACGCATCCTTCGAACAGTAAAAAAAGGTATTAATAGCACAGAATCAACACATCTTCAAGAACTCACTCGTAGACATTCAGGAATTTGAACTCAAAATGGGACTAGCTAGACCTAAATATTTCGTCACCCTGTGTAACATGATGTAATGATGTGAAAATAACAGACAAAATTCATTAAGAAGTTGTCACAGTCATGTCAATAATCCAGCATACCCGATGGGGGAATTGCCGTGAAGATTCAGGTAAAAGGTGTGGAAATGTAAAACAGAGGCCGGAAATTATACATCTGAGAAATAAAAAAAATCAGCACAGATTTGTAGAATTCGAGGTTTATTTTATAGGAGAACAAGGCAGGATTAATTTGAAGGCATTTTTACAATGACTTCTGAAAATGAATTTGAATGGGTATAGAATAGTGATGATGAAATAGAATAGAAAATTAGCGCTATAACACGAGAATCAGCCTGGTAAGAAGAGTTACTGTGATCTTGGGAGCATTTCAAAGTTCAAGCAAATTCTGTCAAGTAACTTTTTAATCACGAAAGTCTCTCTGATATTTGTGTGGGTTAGAATCTGGCAAGTGGGTATCATTTTTACATTTGATTGAAAGCCTTAGAAATAAGACAGAATAGTGTTACTCCAAGACACTTTATTAACTAAATGCGGAGATCAATGCTCTAATTATTGAAAGTTGACATATTTTTACTTGAATAATTGTCATAATTCCTCATAAGGAAGATGGGTCAGTTTGAAATACACTGTTGGACTTAACTATCCCGAATTAAAAGGTCAGCCCCACAGTTTCGAGAAATGACTGAAAGCTCGCATTTTCGAAATTAATCTCGGTCTTCGGATAATCGGAGTCTCCTTCTGAAATACTACCGAGGAGCTAGCAAACTCCTTAGCCCATAACTCTAAGAAAAAAGATTTAAATATTAATAATAAACAGTTCTCTTTTCAACGAGTATGTAATTTTATCGAAGTTTATGATAACATAGTAAGTGTAGAATGTGGTAAAGATATAAGTCTGTCTTTACCAATCGGATCAAAGATATTTCTATGCGTAATCTCAAGATCTCTATTGAGAAGCATCTTGTTTATAAGTCAAGTTAATACGAATCGCATAAAGCCTAAGCGCGGCCAAAATTATCGGATTCAACTAAGCACCGGGAGATGCATGTTTGATCCGCATGCTCTGTGTAAACAAGTTCATCCCAATTGGTTGGCAGATATGCCATCTTCACCTCAATGGCTTACTCCTCCCTGATAATTACTGAACTGGCCTTCAGACCAATCATGGGGTGCGCGACAGACTAACCCCCACGTGGAGCACCCTGGGCCACGTATACTAATACGGCAAAAAGTCTATTAACCGACAGTTGACTTCTCACTTCAAACTACAATCACCCAACTGTATGTCATATTCGACTTCTTCCACAGTACTCACCTCACCTTAACTTTTTCTCAACTGCTGTGTCTGTCTCTCATTTACATCTGTGAAACACTCTTCTGCCACCCTCCCCATCGACACTGATGTTTCTCCCTACTGTGAAGACTAAAGTTAGCTAAAGTGCTAATGAAAACTATCATAAAGTCTGCCATTCAATATAAATAAATAAATATTCAGTCTATTCCATGACATTCCTATCCACTCCTAACTTCCACATAACTTGAATCTTTGTGTAAATACTAACTTGCTGATGTTTCATTCAATAAATCTTTATTCAATCACGCTTTCCTTTCCACAATCTAGAGTCTGGATGAATACGTCACTGGATATATCTGCACTGGTGATTCTAAGTCAGCTCGCATCACATCAGAATACGATCATTTTTAATATGGCGTGTGTGATAGACTTGCCTCCACGTGGTGCACCCTGGGCAACATATACTCATACGGCAAAAATGTCTATTAAACGCCAGTTGACTTCAAACTATCATGACCCCACTGCTTGTCATATTTCACCACTTCCACAGTACTTACAATGCTTTTTCTCTGCCATTGTCTGTCTGTCTGTCTCTTTTAAATCTGTGGATCACTCTTCTGTTCCTTCTCTCAACATTTTGTGACTTTGCCTGTTCCTCCCCTCTGTGAAGTCCGAATTCAACTAAGTCACTAATGATGACTATCAAAAGCCTCCCCTTTGAAATAAATAAATAAATGTGCTTTGAGGTTCCTTCGTCTAATTATCATTTCCATTCTTATACCCAAGACTATGGAATCATTATTTGGACCAAGAGAGTAACTAACTTTAGCGGTAAAGTAGTGATAATTGGGGGTAATGGTTGAAGTTGACACGTCATTTTTAAAGATTCTAGTCGAGAACTCTTGAGGAGTAACATTACATGTAGAGTTGACAACTTCTTCAAAGCAACTTCAAACAAGACAGTGGAGAAATCGAAAAGATAAATAGACTTCGCAAATCGATTGTATATAGAAGTTTTTTGATTGCTAGCGTGTACTATTCGTAGATCAGCTGACTATTCATGGACAATGTTACCACCGGACAAGATCTTAACATTAAAAAAATTATGTAACGATTGCTTATTCACGATTTCATGACCATATAATCCGCTAGCGTATTGCAGGCTAGATTGCCACCGTGGTGCTTCTAGGCGTCCACTTGTTCGGACCCATTAGAATGGGTAGAAGGAGAGCTTCCTCAGCTTATTAAAATGCACTTATTTGGCATTTGGTTGTTCAATGACCTAGAAGTGACAGACGTCGAGGAGATGACAAGCGGAAGTTGAAGTTCAAATGCTTCTATGAATTTTATTCATGTGAAAAGATTTAATTCGACTTCCCATCACGTGTCATTCTTAGGATGATGAGCCTAAAAACCTTCAATGCATTTACTTTATACAAAGAATCGTCGAATTCATTCAACTAATTCACCAATTCATTCTCACTGATTTGTTGGCTTCTAAAAGTCACAGCCAATCACAATGTGACTGGCGTAGCCATCTTGAACACCTTCATCATAAGACCAAAATATTTATAATTAGCCAAATCAGGATATTTATATCAGCGCTCCAAGGTTACCTAGCTAAAAACTTATAAAGAGCAAACCACAGTCAGTTACTTTCAAACTTTAAATGTCAAAAGGGTTAACTCAGGGCAAAAAATTTCAATCTTCATTGTTTTGTGTTGCCATAAAATCTGCGAGAAAAGGCTCTCAGAAGTAAAAATACAGTTCAAAAGAAATCAAGATAAGTGGCACAAAGTAAGTGAAATAAAGTTTATTATACAAATATTGCGCCTTTCATCTAGCTAGAACGCCTTCCATTGGCCACGAAGTTGAGAGAAAATTTGAAGGCTCGCAATACGAGTCGGTGAAAAGTTTGATCTCTGCTGAAATTGCATTCAAGTGTACGATTTTATTATCTTAAAAAAATAATGATAATAATAATTGCGCTCGCTTGGCGTAAATTTATGTTACTATAGAGATTTCTTATCGATCCGTTTTCTAGAGCACAAAATGCCGGAATATACTTCGACAAGCATTGGCAACTTGTCTATCTAAAAATGCTCATTTCAGACTTTTCCTTCTAGGTAACACCAGCCTTTAAGTACTCTATGCAAAAGGAAGGAGCATAAACATATCTAACTTCAACATTATGTTGGTGTTTATGCTACCCCACAGATTACTATTGGTTAAAAATCTCAGTATAGTCAGCACTTTGTATTTTCTTATTTCCACAGGAACTTCTCATTGGGTCCTCACGTTCTCCAACTCTTTTACCCGATAAAATTGCTTGAATTTGTGTCTGTTAGGTTTAGCTTAATTTAAAAATTAAATTAAAATTTATCAGCTTATGTCAACAATGCTAATCAGATTTGCTACTTTCCTAAAAAAAATCCGCAAAAAAACACTCATGTGCCACTAGCTCACATGGCTATACAATTTAGGAAGTTCAATATTGTTATTAGATTATTTATTAATAACAAAAAATGTTCTGTGTCAAGTACACTAACTCAACTGCTCTTAAAAAAATATTTTAGAAGAAAAGTAAAATTAATCAAATCCTAAGGTGAAATAAAAGATATAACACAAAACTTACTTCAAATTATTTTAATAATATTTTGATCGATTAGTTCATCCTGCTCCTTCGTCTGGGAAAAAAGTGGGATGCAGCTGAATTGAGATGGAAAAAATCGATTAAATGAAATGAAATAATGCTCAATAAAGGTCAAATAGAGCAGCGTGTAATTGAAGTAGAGCAGGGTGGATGCGGAACAAAGTGAAATATATACGTTCACTGAAATTGGTCAATAATTGCATCTGCGTTCATAACTACCATCAAAGCAAACCGATTATTCCTATGAAAGGTGCTAACACCAGAGAGCCCATTTCTGACCGTAAACAACCTAACCGGCTAAATTGCCTTCCCAAGAAGGAAAATAGGAGATAAAATACACAAAGATAGAAAAACCTAGATTCCTTATCTTAAATCTACTCGAATTGCACTCCTATTCCTTAATCGACAACATTACCAATGTAGTCACTTAATCTCTATCCTTTTCGATCAACCGAACGGATGAAGGTCTGACTATTTGGAAAATCTTCATGTGGGCATTTTAAATGCAAAAATTTACTTATCCATATAAAAAGATTCATCAAAGCGTGATTCACACTTTACATATCTCCTAATACGGATATTCCCTCCATAATATAAGATAATAAACTAATTATTGCCCAATTTAGTGTAATGAAATTAATAATAAGACAATAAGCAAACAAGCCCATTACTGGTGGTAAAATTTAATACCGAAGAACATTTTCTAATATATTGATCAAATTAATGAAACAAATTAGATAATAACTAATTTACCAATTATAAATTTATTGTGAATACCTTAACATTAACCGATTTTTAGAATTATAATAAAGCTTAAATGATCATAAATAATTAAATTTACGTAAATTGGTAAATTCACAGCTCTCTTTCAATTAAGTGCAATTTTACTTATAAAAATCAGATCAATTGACAGATTATCTCAAATTTAAAAGTGTCCGTCAAAATAGATAAAGCCTCAAACTTAACTGAATAATTTAATAAGTTCAAAATTCCAATAATTAAAGCGAAAATTCATACTTTCTAATGGACAGTCAATATCTCTCTATCAATGACTGTGCACCATTTTGAGGTGGTGTTTTAATAAATATCTTTTTATTAGAACTCCGAAAAAAAGTAATACTAAATGTCATAATTTTCCGGCATAAATAAACCTATTACATGGTGGGAGATTTTTAAAATTCACCTCGAGAAAATTAAATTAAAGAGTAGAGCTCATGACCAATAAAGTGACATAACACACTCTATTTAGGAGGCATTTTCCATGGCATTTTTCTTTCCATTCGAATTCCAAATATTATGAGTTTGCTGCAACTATACCGCTATCAATGACAAGAACGATTCTAACTCAGCAGGCAGTGAAAGATACTCCATTAATTAACCCTGTCTGATAAACCACTTCCCCTGCTTTTATAGAGTTGAATGAATCGTGGGTTATTGAAGATGGGAATGGTGCATTCCAAAAGCCATCTTGTATTGACTTACGTTGAGCTATTTGAGCAGCAGTATTTCCCGTTGTAGGAATGGTGATGGACGATGTTGATGCGGACATTTCAAAATTCATCACGCCCAGTCTATTCTGATTATTTGCTCGAAATAAATTGGATTTGGTGAAATCACCGAACGGTGAGTTGTATTTTGCAAGGCTCTCTTGAGATGAGAAATCCAACGACGACTTAAGTTTTGAAAGAGAATCTTGTCCCCGTTCTTTCCTGTCTTCATCATCATCTCTAAATTCTTCAACTTGAATGGCTACCACGGATTCTTTGTTGCAAATTTCCTTCCCTGTTGGCGCGTTTTCCCCTTCTTTAGAAATTTGATCGAACTTATGCTCAATCTGTTCTGCTTTGTTTGAACCAGTTGATATTTCCGATTTTGGCCTCTCTTCGCCACTATATTCTTTGGATTCGCCTTCGAATGGATTCATATTTGTGATAGCAATCCTACGTTTAGTAGCAGAGGCATCGGAAATTTCAGTTTCAAAATCGCCGTGATGGCTGGGCGTGGGAGTCGTAGACTCGCCATCCACCTCTGGGGTGTGTAGACGATCAGTTTGGTTCGTTGGTGTCGACGCGTTAGAAACGCCGCCAAAAGATTGTGGACTTAGATTGAGAGAGGATTTTGCTGAATCTCCGCAAAGTGAGAGGGAGAAGAGGCGCGGGGGACGCATTGAAGATGGTAAATGTCTGATTTGGCAGGTATGATTATTTGCTGGGTTGGTGGATTCGGAGTTCATTGATTCAGTCGACCTAATATGGGAGTACATATTATTATACCATTTGAAAAACCATCCAAGCCATGTAATCCAATAGGAGACTCACTTGGCGAAAGTGGGGTTTGCGAATTTAGGGGGTTTATCCACATCGGATTTACCTTCCACGTTTTCTGGTCTGTAAAGCAGAACAATGGAATCACAAGACAGTGAAAAAAGAGAAAAATAATGGTTTAAGAGCAAATTTTGAAATCAACTAACGAAAAGAATCTGGAGGCTTCTTTAAGTCTTCTATACAACTGCATTGCACTCGCTCTGCTGTCGCATTTGAAGCCAATTTTCTTTTTCGCCTAAAAGAGCAAAAAGGCTCCAATCTACCTTCATTCATCAATAATGTCAAATTTAGAGTTTTGACTTAATTTTTTTTTCTCGTATTTGTTTGAAAAGACAGAACATGTAAATTATATATTTAATCCAATTGCTTAATTTTATATTATATATATAAATATAAAGTGCGCGATTATTAATATTTTCATCTAATCTTTTTTTAAGTATTCCACTCTAACTCGTTTAGAAAAAGTTTTAATTCCTTAGGATTGAAGAAATTGATGAGATTTTATTAATAAATCAACTTTTGAGACTTACATCACGTGTTTTGATGGTAATAACAACGTTTCGCCTATCGCAATCGTAACATATCATTGACTCCCTGAAAGCAAGAAAAGAAAATCGCAGTAATAAAACTGAAATAAAAGTGCGCTTGTACTTTTTCATTAGATTCAATTAGAAAAATGAAATAGTAATAGACCACTTCCTACACGGGCACACAAATTGAACCTAAAATCAGTCTTATAAATAAGTCCAGTAGATCTGACATCATTAGGTGATAAAAAATTTGCTTGAGATGGATAATCTTCCTAGTAGAAAAAAAATTAATGGCAATTTGCGGGTTAAAAGAGTATCATACATTTTAATAACATTTATTTCTCGAAGTACTTATAATGACCGTGAGTCACTGAATTGAATTAACGTGGGTTGGCAATAGCATATAAGCGAGAATGTCAAGTGTGGAAAGGAGATAGGAAAAACAGCGTTGAAGACGATACTCGAAAGGAAACTGGGACAAAAATGCGACTCACCATCGGAAGAAGTTAACCTGCTGACTGCTTTTAAAGACAGAAAGACCGCGAAAATTGAATCCCACTGCGATACCGTTTCCTCGTTGATCCTTCAAGAGAGAAGTAGATTTATCTATAACTTTTTTTCTGATAGGAGTGCTCCCCTCCCCATTCAACTTTCAAACCTTGATCAATTCAAGTTTCTTTTCGAAATTAAGTGATTAAGTGTTTTCGATTATTAAAACAAAAAACCTTTCCTCAATTAATCTTGGATTCTAGGGTTTAATTGAAACGCTCTAGAAGATCTCATGTGAAGAGGCTTTAAGAGCTAATCGAAAGTGAAGCTACAAGATTAGAAACCTAAACTGTTAAAAACAATTGTCGCAGTCTTAGAAATATCCTCGATACAATCCCTCTGCACAAACGGTTTAATAAAAATTAAGTAATTGATTCTCCGGAAACGATTCTAAGCTTGAACCGCATTAGTGTTTAAGAGATGAGCCTCTCTTACTATATTTGCTTTTGTTATATCCATGACAAAATTATTAATTAACCTGTCTTCATATATTCTTCGTAGTTGGATGAGAAAATCATGGATTCAAAAAATTTGTCAAGTGCCTTTTATAAGAATGAAAAAAAGGAACTGTTTGATCTTTAGCTTAATAATTGCATCAAAGCCTTGCAAAGGGAACAAGAATTTAAATTGGCATGACAACTGAATCAGTGATAAGGGGGTTGTAGTGCCTACTGGCTTTCCTGAGTTCGAGATCAGGTGGCATATGTTTGTCGTTTAGGTTTAACTGAATAATCAATCAAAATAAATTACTTAAGAAAATTTGATTCCCTAAATAAGTATTTCAAAATGGCAGTTTCTAAACCGTGGAGCATAATGTATGTTAAGTAGCGAAAAGGAAACAAGTTCATCCCGATCATCACGAGAAATTCTTTGTTACTGTAAATGATGTGTATGAAAAACAGTTAAGTCAACTGTTAAGCACGAAAATCTCATAAACAGACTCAAAAACACACATAATTCTTTCCTAATCTTGAAAGTGTATGAGAAAACAGCACCTGCTTCGTTAGTAAACACTAGGAGCGCGTAGATTTAGAAAGAAATTTGGTCAAATAGTACACAAAAGTAGGCTTGACCTCAGTGATTTAGGAAGGAATCATGTGGGAATCTCAAGGGTGAAGAAGAAGAAGAAGTGAGGAGCACTACTGCAAAGATACATTTCGCGTTGCACGACAATAACGCTCTATTAGAGACCTATTAACTTTGTTGTAGAAAAATGAATGAAAACCAGCTCAGTTGGTAATAAAACTACCTTCAAACAGACGTGTTAGAATGATTAGTGTAATCTATAAATACTGTAGTAATAGCTATTAACTAAATTTATTGCGAATGAAATAAATGAATTTTAACAAAAAATTCGGATTTAAGGTCATTTTAAAATATCGATTACACTAATTCAAGAAAATGTTGCCAGCATACTTCTCCCCTTGTCGTTTTAATAAATGACAACAATAAATTCCAAAATTATGGCATTTAAATTTAAAAAAAAATATATTAATAATTTCAAAAGGTGCCAATTAATCGTAATTTCGAACAGTTTATTTTTATAATTAACCACAATGACAACTTAGTGACTTGCATAAGATTTTGTAAGTACACAGTTTATCGTGGGTGTCTAGCTCAGATACAATTAGCGCCAGTTAAATTTCTAACCCATTTAAATATTAAGATGATTTCATATTCTACCCCAGAGTCATTTCATGCATGAATAGTAGGTAAATACGAATTAAAATAGTGAATTTTTGAAAGATTAGATGGCTTTGACGAGATAGACTACTGTAATGCAAATTAGTTCCCTTTGATATCTAGCATGAAATAGGAATGATAGAAAAAAGACTTACCTTTGCATCAAAGGGTTCGATTCCATAGGTATCCATCCTTGTCGCGACTTTCAGGAAGGAATAGAGAGCCTCTCCTTCTGAAATTTCGCTAAAAATTGTAATTTAAAGTGTTAAAAGAATTCCCTCTGTGTAAATGTGTGCTTCTACGTCCTTTTCAAACATAAAGGTTATTTCGATGTTAAAGTTCGCATCTATTCAAAAGAAATTTTCTTTAAAAGTAAGCTTATTTAGTTATAGGATAATTAAGCATAAGAGACCCTAATTCAATAATCGATAATGGGTTTATTGAATGCGAAGTAATCGCAATTTATTGCTTCTCTTATTGAGAGCAAAATCTTTCAGTAGTAGTTTAGACAGAGGGGGGAAATTCGAACATACCGATTGAAAACAGGAAAAAAATTGGGCCCTATCATGATGATTTTCTAATCTTATATTATCAGTTATGAGGTGTGCAATAGAATTACCTCCACGTGGTGCACCCTGGGCCACGTATACTCATACGGCAAAAAAGTTTATTTACTGGTAGTTGACTTCTGACTTCAAACTACCCTCACCCCATTGTATGTCATATTCGACTACTTCCACAGTAAACACCTCGCCTTTTTCCTACCTTCGTAATTGAAGCACTCATCTGCCCCCCCCCCTTTCGAATTTTTTTCCACTTTGATGTTCCTTCCCCTCTATGAAGCCTGAAGTCAACTAAAGGGCTAATGATAACTATCAGAACGCCTGCCATTTGATATAAATAAATATTATCTGT